GACCTGAGGTGGAGGAAGTGGAGGTGGAAATGGGGTCAGGGGGCCCCAAAGGCTTCAATTCTCATTGTGAGGATTTAGGTTCTGGAGCCGTAAAATTACCCCTCTCTCACAACTCCCCCAAAAGGGAAGGATGGTATTTATCTGTGGTGGTCTAAGTGGATGACTCAGAGAAGGTAGTTAGCGGGATATAGTCACCCTGCTGCTTCTACTATTCCTCAATAGCAATGTCTTTATGTAGATAAAGTTAACTAGGCCTATATTTCAGTCGCTCTCCATCTAGACCTGCCTCGGCTTTTGTTGGCAAGCTGTAAGTCATATTGGTACTTCACACGGCATTTCCTCGTTATTGTTTAGACCCTGTCACGGTAGCAAATGTAGGCGGAAGCGGGGTCAAACCAAGGGGTACAAGGACACCGGTGTTCCCCAAGGTAGCTGTGCAGAGGTTGCCAGCCGTCTTTCTGTCAAACTCGATTAGTCAATCAATCTGTCGTTTCGCAGTGCCTGCTGATGGGTCTATACACTGTGGTCAAAAATATCTCATCCGTACAGACCCGAGTAAATGAGAAATGAAGGGTTTGGTGTGCATCGGTTAAAAACTGACACATCACCAGCTGGATCCCCTTTTTTTCTAAGTGGTGTTAGATAAGGCTAGGATCACAATGAGGGTTATCTTATGACTTGGATCAGTAAATGACCAACTATAACATGGGTGTAAATATCATAAATATAAATATCTAGTTTAATCCGTCTGCAGATGCTGGGTGTCTACAGTCATAGCCAAACAAATAAATAAAAATACGTTCATGTTCTTGTTAAACTCAAACCTGTAACTCTACAAAGTATAACACTTTATGAGAAAGAGAAGCCTACATCAGCAATAAGAGTTGTTTTTTTTTCTTTCTATTTGAGGTCAGTTCTATTGCATTCTCAAAAACTATATCTTTCTGTGAAGCGTGTGTGCTGTGGCGACCTTGAAATATCTTTTCATTTCCAATTCTCAGCTTACAGACGTACACAAGAAAAGACATAGTTCTGTACACTGTGGGAAGAGTGCACATTCTGCATACTTCTCTCTTTTTCTCTTTAAATGTGTGGCTAGTTTTAACCCCGCTGGCCATGAGATCCGTTTTAGATTTGTACTAAAAGTTTCGTCTCAAGTTTAACTTTTCCCAGATTAGCTTTCAAAGTCTCGAACTTAGCATTTAAACACTTGTCCATACTTGTTAAACATTCATGACTGATGTTACCAACAGGCCTGTGCTCAAACCAGTTTTTCAACTTTTCTTAAAATGGCTAACAAATACCCTTATAAGTATGAAACTGATGCCTGATCAGTAATTTACCTTAAACTGACTCCTTTTTATGCACTTTATATGATTTAAAAAATGACAAATCTATCAAACAAACAATGTGTTTAAGTGTAAGTCAATCTAAATTGATACTTTGTAAGTACCAATCTCAAAAGTACTCAAGGTCATGACACTACAACGTTCTTCTTAGATAATTTAATACTGATATTACTGCAAACATGCACTTTTTAATTATCACTTGTTTACTACACAAACTTATGGTAACAGGGTTGACATTTTAAGCTGACAAACAACAAAACGTAAGATGAAATACTAAAATTGTCCTTGACAGTTAAATTCTTGAAATGAAATTGTTGATTTTATACATAACGCCCATTTGATCAAATAACCTGTACTTTTTCCCCCTCCTGCATAATTCCCAACTTTTATGGTGGCGTGATTAAGCACAGTAGTTCAGAGTTACTTCCTCTTTGCTAAGGTCTCTCTGTAGGAGGTAATTACCTCTTTTGCCAGTCATAAATAAGAGAGGGAGAAGGGGAAGAGGGAGGTGAAGCTGCGTGTTTGTGCAGGAAGCGAGGCCAACAGGACAAAACAGCACCTGACGGCGAGGAGAAATATATCTACTCTTGGTGTTTTACGACAGGTTTGTTAAAGACAACAGAAGTCATGGACCCTCCAGAGACACATTTACCTCAGAGTTATTAACGGGTCAGGAAAGCTTCTGTTATGAATGGCTAAACAGGAATTGAAAGTGTTCATGGATGCATGGCCCTTCTGAGGAAGCATAAGAGGCTGGAAATGTAAGAAAAGCCGGTTATCTGGTCAGGTGTTGAGGAAGTGAAGACAAAGAAAATATGAATGAAAAGCAAGGAGTGAGGTAGAGGGGGAAGTTAAACAAAAGTATGAGTAATGCCACGTGCAAGAAAGCGAGACATAGAGAAAAGGAAGGGCAAGAAGGAGGGGTTTGAGTGTTGACGCATCATTCTCAGCTGGAGGGGGTACGAGAAGGTCACCAGGGAGACAAAAGACAAGGGCCCTGCCAAAACAAGACATTTGACCGCGAGACATGCCGTATTTTGGGTTATCTAGAGAGACAAAACCACTATTGTTTTAACTAGGGGCAATGGTTGCATCCTCTACAGATACCTTCAAACTCCTGAAAGCCATTGCTGGGGGAAAAAAAATAGAAAACTCATTCGTTTACTACTAATTGCCTGCCTGGTTTATTGTAGCTTAATTCAAGTGCCATCATTGTGGGCTCACTCAGACTGGATCCCACATTGTTCCCATTAATAGGTGCTTGAGGCTGTCACCGAGATGTTTACCAATGAGAAATAATTAGGATGGAGTGGTGTGGGAGGGTTGGCAGTCAGGATCAGTGTCTTAGGTTCTACTATCATTACAAATGCAGGGAAAGTCTACATCCGGAGCTCGTGAAGACCTAATGCTGCCTGTAAACTCCGCTGCTGTGCTTGTAATTAGTTCTGTTTGTCGACGAAGGCAGTGTTTGAAGTACTCTTGTTCAATGGGCATGCTAGCTATTTGGGCGCACTCACGTAGCGTGAAAGCCAGAGTCGAGTCAATGAGGAGTTGTTCCTTCAGCTCGGGTTGTCAATTTTCACATTGGTGTTCAAGTTATTTAAATAATCATAAAATGGCCCTGATATGTCACTAGACATTAAAGGGTAACTAAACCCCTGGTCAGAGCCTGACTCCACCCACTGGCAATATTTGAAAATGCTGAAAATTGGGAAGACCGACGAAATAGACGCTAAAACACTCTATCCTGATCGTTTTCAATACTCGCAATTCCAATTCCTGACTCCCTACTGTGGTTTTGACGACACAAGATGGTTTTTATATTGCCAAGGGCGTAGCTCGCGTGGTGAGCTGAAACCTGCGTACGCCACGAAGTGCGGAACATCCAATAGGAAAATTCAACTGCAGTAGCCACCGTTCAACCTGAAGAGGGCAGCACTAAGACGCTTTTACACCAAATATTGTAGAAATAGAACACTTTATAAACAAATGTCAAAAAAGTTACTTGAATCAATGACTGGTATTAATAAAGATCCATTCTTACAGATCATTAACTAAAAAAAGTTGGTTTAGTGTTTAGTTACTCTTTAAGAAATCATGTTCATTTAAAATGCGTATATTGCAGATAACAGTAGTCCAGCCAGGATATTGTCATTTCAAAAGTGAAGTTGCAGCCCTCAACAGATGTTGATGTTGTCATGTTATGTTTTGGGCTGATGCTCCACCCTCAACCAATCCACCAATCACGGAGTCAGTAGTGTTGCAGGATCCGGGTTGCGAGCTTTGCTCTAGTTACAGATACAAGATACAAGATACAAGCTGCAGATACAAACATTTTGGATAAAAAAAAAATAAAATAAAAAATCTGGCAACCTTGAGTCAGGGGGGAGGGGGAGGGAATTCACCGCTCTACAGTAATTTGAAGGTGATTGCAGTACCAGTTTTGGCCACAATCTTACATACGGCTCCTTTAATGGTCAATTTATCAATTAATCGTGAATGCAAAAACACATATGGAAGACTAGATAGCATGTGAGTGTAGTCCACATTTTTACTATATTTTATTTAAATAATACATTATTAGTCTGCTGTTTTCATTTATTAAGTATGCATTTAATTTCAAGATAGTTTATGAAAACTTATATTAAAGTCCCCGTGAAATCAAAATTGAACCTATTTACTTTGTTAGCGCATATTACTAGTCTTGTGGTGAACAATTAATCCGTGCAAGTGAATATATATTAAAAAAATGTTTTACCTTAGTAATCTTTAATCAAAATCTGAAAAGTTACTTCCGGTCTGGAACGGTTTCTTTTTCTGATGACGTAGGTTTCACAGTTTGGGTGGGGAAAACGCTTAACCACTCCCCTCAAACCGTTAGTTTGCTATGAGCGAGAGATGGAGAGGAGGAGCGCTAGAGTAAAACCCTGCCCTCTGTTCAATATTCCGTTTCACTTGGAAATACGTCACAGCACTGGAGAAAAATCGTTTGCAACTTCCGGTTCACGGGGACTTTAAAAAAAAGGATAAGAGTGCAACGTTCTGGTCTTCAGCAAGCATTCAATCTGTCTGAGTCTAAGTTCAAGTTCATTGTACGAACTTCCTTGCTTTTTTTCTTTTCTCCCAGCTACCTAAGGCCAATTCTGGGTTTTGTAATAAATTTAATTTACCATCATAATGTTCAAAGAGAAAATATAACTCTATCCCCAATACAACTTACTTGATCATAAAACATTTCCTACACTCATTTTGACTTTAAACTCAAATTATGCCACTTAGTGAGTATAATGAACTAATCTACCCTATCTCACGACCAATTCGTACGAGTGATTCAAAAGTGGCTAATTTGTACTAATTCATACGACCTCACTCGTACGATTTGTCTAAACCCATGTGACGGTTATGTTTAGGGGCGGGGTCAGGGGTAGGTCATTCGTACGAATTCATACGAATTGGCTGATTCGTCAAATATGTACGATTTAGCAAAATCGCACTAATTCGTACGAGTGAGGTCGTGCGAATTGTTACGAATTAGCCCCCTCGTAAAATTCGTACGAATTCCTGTGAGATCTGGTTGGAATTAATCAATCATCGTTCTCAGCTCTGATTGGTTGACTTGTTTTTAATGTCCTTCTTCCTGTCTTTCTGCAGCGGGGAACGGGCAGTCGGTGCAGACGGACCCCAGCAAGTCTGGATTTGTGGGTGACACGGTCGAGCTGCGATGTCTCTTCATCAACGGCAAGCCACCAGTGAAGATCTCTCAGGTCACCTGGCAAAAGCTGATAAATGGCAGCAAACAAAACGTGGCCACCGCCAACCCAGCCTTGGGAGTATCTGTGCTGCCCCCTTTCAAAGATCGTGTGAGCTTCAAGCACCCCGCTGTGCGCCAGAGGACCCCTTCTTCTCTTGAGGATACCACCATTGTGTTTACCAACCTACGGCTGTCTGATGAAGCGGCCTACATCTGCGAGTACACCACATTCCCAGCAGGCAACAGGGAGAATATGGTCAACCTCTCCGTCTTTGGTAAGACCACCACACTGGCAGTTGAGACCACACACACACACACACACACACATATATAGTTCTGTTCTAAAAGAGCTCATTCACAAACAGATGATCAATGGGCCTCATTCTTCAAGCATGAGCAGAACAAATTTCTGTCGTTCATAAAATCATTTTGTGAATTGTCACATTCATGTGACAATGGGCCTCATTCACAAAATAACATGCGTGTAATTTGTTATTTATATAAACAGTTCTATTCAACGCAAATATTTGTGTAAGAATAGTTATACGTACAGTTTACACATTGAATGGGACAATTTATGTAAGAATTTGTTTTCAAGAATAATTTTCACAAAAATTTGCAATGAATGCCAAAAAATGAATGGTTTTATGAATTTACACAAAAAATCTCATTGAATGTGACTGAAGTTTGTTTGAAATTTCGGTAACACTTTACAATACGGGTGCACTAATGTGCATTAATTCATCCTTAACTAATGCACAGATAATCATGAGTTAATGTATAACTCATGAAGAGCTAAACCATTAATTAATGAGTACTGCATCAGCAACAAATAAAGAGTCAATATGATTAATAGATTGAGTAATACATGAATGGCTATTAATTCAATGTGTCATTGTGCGTTAATTCCTCAATAACATATTTTATTAACTAATAGTGTAAATTAATGTGTTAATTACCACAATTAGTCAGAGCTATGCACTTCAACTTCCAGTTGTCTGCTTTAATTAATCATTAGCTAATGATTTGCAAATGTATCATTATGTTATGACTTTACTCGTTGGGGCACATCATTATTAACTAGTCATTTAGTAATTGTAGTAATCTGTACATGAATTTGCACTAACAATGAAGTAATTAATGATGTATTAATGCATATTAGTATACCTCTGGAAGTTGAAATACAAGGCTTTGGCTCATTCTGGTAATTAACATATTAGTTAACACTATTAGTTTAAAATTGAGTTATTATGGAATTAATCCACAATTACATGTTTAATTGATAAAAATTCATGTATGAACTAATACATTAACCTTACAGACTCATAATTAGTTCCTAATGTGGTAATCATTAATAAATAGCTTAGATAATCACTAGTTACACAATAATTCAGTATTATCTGTGCATTAGTTAAGCTTTAATTGAATTAAAGCTTATTAGTGCACACATATTGTAAAGTGTTACCAAATTTCCGTAAGAATGTTTTTCGAACAGTTTACAACTGTGCATAACCATTTATTTTGTATACAATGCTGCAGTTTGTATGCAAATAATGGTACATACTATTTACACAGAAATCCGCATCGAAAAAAAACTTTTTTTTAGTCAAGAATGATTTTATGAATGGTTCCAAAACGAGCAAATTAGCATGAAATGTGTTTGTAAACACTTTTGGTATTGAATGCTACAAGTTGTATAAGATTAGTCATACATAAACTGCAGAATAAAGTGTGGATTCTTTGCAAATTGTAAGTATTTTTGTTTGATTTTTTTTTTTTTTTTTCAAATCAAAAGTAACATTTTACTCAAAAATATTAAAAACGGTTTACACAAAGTCATTCTGCTCATGTTTCATGAATGAGTTTCATGTAAGAACTTATAATTCAGTCAATTTCCATCCAATTGAATGAATTCTTATAGTTAATCAACTGTAAGTAAGAACAAGTTTACTCTGCAGCTGAAGAGGAAGCTTTTTCACTGAGCAGCAAGTTCTTTACACACATATAACACCATGGATGGGCAGGCTAGAAATAGGTGTCATTTTCTTGAATATTTTTAGCACTCAGTCTCAGCCCTGATTAAGGTGTGGGTTAGCAGGTAGTAAACTGTGAATAGATGTTGTTTCAGCAATATTTTATTCATAACCCTATAAGTCCTTGAGAAAAATATGTTCTTTGTCCTTGACTGCTTCAGGTCTTGTGTGTAATGTGCTTGAACCTTCCATACACTTGAAATGTATTGATCAGTGTTCACCACAACCGAAAGAGCTGCGTCCAACTCTGCTGTATTAGTCGACCTGCAGATATAATGTATTCATACATGGTTTCGCGAATAGCTCCACACACACAGGTAAAGATAGGCTATCATTTCAGGCTATCAGTCTGAGATGAAAGACCGAAAGCATCCTAAAAATAGTTAATATGACTGTTTTCAGACCCCTGGGGTTTGTGAGTTGATGAAAAGCTAATGGTCTGGTTTCACAGACAGGGTTTAGATTAAGCCAGGATTAGTTCAATTAGAACATTTAAGTAGCTTTTTAGGGGCTAATGGTTAGCGAGTCCGGCTGCTAACCCAAAGGTTGCTGGTGTGAAATGTCAATGCCAGTTGCTTTAAACCTAGTCTGTGAAACCGGGGAAATAAGTATGTAAATCATAAAAATCATCAACATCTGAGAACCTTGAACATGCAAATCTGTTGTTAAATTATTAAAATGAAATGAAATCTCTGGAAGTACTTCAAATAAATACTTTAGGTCAAATGGCAAAAAAAAAAAAATAAAAAAATGTAATCCCAGGAATCATATCAATCCATACATCATATGACTCCTGAGGATTTCGAATATAACATACAATCGGCAACTAGTCATAGTTGGGGGCGTAGTGAGGGCGAAGTCGGCGTGGGGGAAAACACAGCGAACATTGTGTGTATTTGAATGACAAAAATGTCTTATCGCGACCGGCAATGATACATTGCAAAATTAACTGCAATAGGGTACGATTTCCCTTATTTAATTAAAAAACTGGTTCAATGACCAACCAAATGGCTGGAGGTGTCATTTTCCAGATATTCTGTTGTCCATTTGAATCTCCAGGTAAGAAATTGCGGTAGCTACCGGTAAAATTAGACTATAACTCAATCATATGTTACATATATTATATTTACTTACCAATTGTACATATGCTTCACTCCAAACCATTAATGCTTTGGTAAAACGGTGATCAGTAGTACGAAGTTGCCGAAGGACTGTGCTGACAGGTCGTCCTTGGCGTTATTACGTAGCGATTGGCCTATCAAGCCAATCTTCAGCTGATAACGCTAATGTGAATGAGACATCTCTTATGAAAAACAACCATTGGGATCTCTTAGTATTTTACGATAAAATATTATAGTAATCCTATAGGAATACTGTTGTATTTTGGGATAAACGATAGAAATACTATAGAGGTATTACAGAACATCACAGACATATTATAATACAAATCGCAGGACAGACATGGGAAAAACAGACATAGGAAAGTAAGTGCTGTGCGTTTAAACCTCACTCCCCTGGCCTCAAGTGGCATGCTAGCAACTGTCTTTAGCGTTACAAGTTGTATAAAATTAGTCATACATAAAATTTCCATTGAGACCTCTTTTGCTTCCTCCTCTTTTTTTCAGCAAACATAACAAACACAATTGCCAAAAATCGATTCATCTTGCTCTTTGTTTATCACTAGCGTATGCTGATGAGGTTTCTACTAACTTGCGTCGTAGCCTAGGATTCAATAGGTGTCATCTACACACATGTCGTTCCCAGGTTTGTAGATCCCTTTTAAATCCGATAGGATTGCAGAAATATCACAGTCTGTAGGAGGCATTAGGAAGCTGCACAGGTTAGAAAAAAAAACGTGTGTGTGTGTGTGTGTGTGTGTGTGTGTGTTGGAGTGCAAGATAGGAGCATCTCGTTAGAGAGGTGGGTTATGCTCCCACTGATTGCAGATCTAATTAGAAATGAAGTGTTGATATGTTTTCCATTAAACCAGCAAAGGGAGCTGCTTGGCTCAAGTACAGGGTGTTTTTTTTTTCCTTTTTTTTTTTTTCACTGATGTGGCTTGTTAACTCCCAAGCCCATTTTGTATATCACGTTCACATGCGTCCTCTGAGGATGCTGGCATTGCAGTAAGAGCAAGCAACCTGAATGGAGATAACCAAGCTCAGTGCTTTTCAAAGAGCCTCTTCATGTCATATCAACCCTCGCCACAAACCTCAGCACTCTTTGACACGCGCTCACATAAACACACATCTTCCCGTTTGATGCAGGCCTCTTTAATTGCTAATTGGCAGCTCATAAAGGATCGAGATTGGATGACTTTGGGCACCGTGAGAAAGGAGTGGTCTCTACATCTGTTTGAGTGCTTGACTGATGTTTTAGCTTTGAACACGGGGTACAGGGGGAAAAGAAATTAGTCAACTGCTTGATTCGTACTGACGGGAAGAAAACGACTTTTCTGAACATCAAGATTAGTGGTAAAGGGACTGGAACTCTCAAGGGCACCTTTGTTGCTCTTGTTCACACAGTATTTTAGTATCTTCTACAATGTTCCTTTCCCTGTTTTATTTACCGTTTGCTTCTTTTTTTTTTTTTTTTATCCAGCACGGCCAGTGACCAAGATGTCGTTGACTTCACCCACCATCGTGGCGAGGACTCCGAAACGCAAGATGCCCGTGGCCACCTGCATGTCGGCTAACGGCAAGCCTCCCAGCGTCATCAAATGGGACACCACTCTGAAGGGAGAGGCCACGTTTCAGGAAACGCGCAATCCGAATGGCACTGTGACCGTGCGCAGCAACTACATCGTGTTGCCCAGCCGCGAGACCCACCGACAAAAGCTGACCTGCATCGTCTCTTACCGCGCAGACCGCTTCACTGACAGCGTCATACTCAACGTTCAGTGTAAGAACAATATTTTTTTTCTCATATCTTTCAAACTCCAGGAGAAAAAATGCATCATTGACAGATTTACAATGATACACACATACTGTAGTTTGGAACAATTGATATTTTTTCAAGTCTCTTTTGCTCACCATGGATGCGTTTATTTATTTATAACCAAGTAATATTGTTACAATTTGAAGAACTGTTTTCTATTTTAATATATTTTAAAACTAATTTTATTCCTGTGATCAAAGCTGAATTTTCCGCATCATTACTCCAGTCTTCAGTGTCACGTTATCCTTTAGAAATCATTCTAATATTCAGATTTTTCGCTTTACAAATATTTATTATCAATATTGAAAATGTTTCTACTGCTTATTATTTTTGTGGAAACAGTGATATATGAAAATAATTCAAAAGATTGGGGGAAAACAGATTATTTTAAACTTTTATTCAGAAAAGGCACAATTATTTGATCAAAAGTAACAAAAAGTACAGTTTCCATTAAGCGGAAAAAAAAAATATATATTTTATTTTTTAAACCAATAAGCTGCTCTAATAATAACTGAGCACCAAATCAACATATTGAATTCAGCAAATGATTTCTGACCATGTGATACTGAAGACTGGACATCTGGTGCTGAAAATACATTGCTGAAATAAACTACAATATATTAAAACTTTAAAGAATTCTTTAAAAATATGACCAAAAAGTCTTAATCATTACAACATTGGACTGGTTTTACATATATTATACATCACACATTGTACATCACAAATTGACATAAATGTATGTATTTTTTTAGCAATCAAAAAGCATGTTTAATTAATTAATCATATAACTTAACATTTTAAAAAAAAAGGCCACACTAATTCTGTGTTGCGTTTTTTCTGGTAATAAAATGAAGGCATAAAACACAAATTTGATCATTTATCATAAATTTTAATCATATGAAATTAAATAAACTTTTTGTCAAACAACATACTGCAATTAAAACATGGATTATTCCTTAAATTCAGAAATTAATTAAATTTAAAAAAAATCATAAATTATTTGGATTAGTGTTAGTGTATTATTACATTGAGACATTTCTAAGTTAGTAGAACAGTAATATATTTCTCTCAAGTTAAACCGAACTTTTATTTTGAAGGGTTGCCGTCAAGACCTTTTGAGTTTCTGTGTTTATGTCATGATGATAGTTTTTCCTCAAATAAAGCAGTTAAATGATCACAAAGTGACTTTAAGAGTGGATCTAGACCCTTGAGAGGAAGTTCATGCATTTGTGTCTTTATATAAGCAAAATAATAAAAAAAAAAAAAAAAACTTCCCGCGCGCTTCAGTGTGTGGTAAGTGAAACTGTGCATCGGCTGCACCATTCAATCACACAGAACATGCAGTATTCGTATTTAAATAGTCTTTATGGTTTAATATTCACACACACTAGTCTACATCGCGATTCGGTTTCAAGTGTACTGAAATGCTTTCTATTTATTCCTCAAAAAATGTAGATTTCATCAGCTTTTTAGGGGGCCGCCCCCCTAAAACAATGAGGGAACATTGCACACTTATATAAAACCCCACTGGAATGTCTAAAAATGTACGGTTAAGTTAGTGTTGATGCTGCACTGTTGCGCAAGTTCTGCGGAGGAGGTTCGGATCAGGAAGAGATGTGTCACTGGCCTGTCTCAGCCGCTGTTGTTATCAGCTATTGTTTAGGGCCGTTTAGAACAGTATTTCAGCCCCCATAAAGCCCACTGATAGAGGAAATCCACCCATTCTCCCACACTACGCTATAGAATACATTGTTCTTGTGGTGCGCCTGTGTGAAAGGCCATGTTTAGAGTGACGGTAAGTTCACAGAGAATCACTCGTCCTGATTCTTGATTTACTTCGAGTGTTTTGTTAATCTAGTTACCCTTTGGTATAACATCCCCAAATTGAATTTCCTCAGCCTTATACATGCTCATAAAAGCAATTAAGAATGAATCTGAAGAGACATAGACCGGTAACATCAAGTATGCAGTGCATTTGAATACCGTCATTAATAGGAAGGGGAAAAAAAAGTGCTGTAATGAATTGAAATTTGGCATTTAGCTGAGGTTCTTATCCAATTAGGACAATTTCTGGAATAGTTGCCCTGGAGTAGCTTGCGGCTAAGTGGGTAGCTAAAGGGCACGGTGGTGGTTGTAGTCTCAGTAACCATTCATGTGTTGGCTCTCCTCCCAATCGCTTAAGAAATAAACTCTTGACCTTTCAGCTATGAGCCCAGATCCTTAATCAGTATCATGACATGCACCCATCGTCAAGTCATGTGACCCTGAACAACCTGAGCCCATGCCTGAAGACGCTCTTTTGCTTTTTTTTTTGTTGCAGATGAGCCGGAGGTTAAAATCGAGGGCTTTGACGGGAACTGGTACCTGAATCGCCAAAACGTGCAGCTCACGTGCAACGCAGACGCCAACCCACCCGTCACCGTCTACCAGTGGAAACTGTGAGTTATACTCTTCTGACCTACTAATCCACATTGCGAGCAATCACCTTGTAGTCTCAGCTTATTAATAGAACTGGGATGGATGAGTAATGTTTATTGAGTGAAAAGCATAGTGAGATTTGAAACCTGTCTTTTTATGTATTTAATCTTTTCAAATACACATTACAGTCTTTTCTCCAGAGTTTGATTGTAAATGAATTGTTCAATTATTAAATAACACAAACGGATAAAAGTTACATGAATACAGACTTTTTAACTGTGATAAGAGTTGACATGTATGTTAAAGGAGTAGTTCACTTAAAAAAAAAAAAAAAATGCTGATTATTTACTCACCCCCAGGTTATCCGAGATATCATTCTTTCTTATATAATGATATATAATGTAATTTTTTCTTCAGTCGAAAAGAAATTAAGGTTTTTGATGAAAACATTCCAGGATTGTTCTCCAATATAATGGACTTCAATGGGAACCAAATGGTTCAATGTCCAAAAGACAGTTCCAGTGCAAACTGCAAACTTGTTCAAAGGGCTTTAAACGATTCCAGACTATGAATAAGGGTCTTATCAAGTGAAATGATCGCTCAATAAAAAACAGTTTAAGTTTTATAAGCTCAAATGGTCGCCTTCCTCTGTTCTGTGATGCGCGTTCGTGACTCTCCGGTTCGAACTCGTTTATCAAAATGAATGAATATTTTTCCATGTCATTTGGTTCATTCAATGAACAAGTTGACTCTGGAAAAGATTGAAACGAGTTTGAACAGGAGAGTCATGAACGTGCATCACATAACAGAGCAAGGCTCTGAGCTTATAAAACCTAAACTTTGTTGTTGTTGTTTTTTTTTAAATGAGCAATCGTTTTGCTTGATAAGACCCTTATTCGTCGTTTGAAATCGTTTAAAGCCCTTTGAACAGTTTGCAGTTTGCACTGAAACTGTCTTTGACCTTGAACCGTTTGGTTCCCATTGAAGCCCATTAAATGGAGAAAAATCCTGGATTGTTTTCATCAAAAACCTTAATTTCTTTTCGACTGAAGAAAGAATGACATGGACATCTTGGATGACATGGGGGTGAGTAAATTATCAGCAAACTTTTTTTTTTTTAATGTGAACTACTCCTTTGAACCCTTTTTGCGTGATTGTCCTTCACTTCTAATCCGTCCATTTAAAAAATAAGTTGAAGCGCATCATTTATATTGGCCGTACAACACTTAATGTCAAGCATTTACATGAAAAGTTTTCATGACGATCAGTGTGTCCAAACGTTTGACTTCTTGTGTATGTCGGCATCATTAAACTAAATGAATGATGAGTAATGTTTGAAGAGCGCTCCTCTGAAATATTCAGTTTACTGTAATGCTACATGACAGCTTAGATGTGTTATGAGTGATAACAGAATCATTTCCTTCAGTAAACTACGACTTCATTCATTGGTGGTTAGCACTCAATCAAGATAAATAAAGACGCTTACAATGGCTCTATTCAGAATTCACGTAGCCATTGATAACCCCTCAAACAAGATCAAACATGAGAAAATAAGCTACCCTTTGTACTTCTGCATGTTTACCTTACCAATATACTGGTTTGAAAGAACAGTGAAAGAGATATACAGCGAGATTGAGTCTTGTTTGGCATTATGAGTCTTGTGATGGTGATTGTTGTCGAGTTTCTGGTGCTACGGGTTTGCATGCAAACTATGACATCATTGCTTTGCCTACCAAATGAATATGATGACTGCACAGTCTCAGCTCTGTTTTGATAACCTTTCTGTGGACAATGCTGGTGTTTATGTGAGGTCAAAGCTGTGGTAACCATTTATCAATCATTTCAACTTATATTAATCATTATACATTAATATAAGGTATAGTTTAGTAGTTCAAACCCTGCTCCAACACACACACAGCTGTAGTTTGGAAATAAGCCGGAAAGGCTTGATGTGCTGGATCAGGTGTAGGGGTGAGCGGGGCACAATCTAACTAGTTGTAACACACTTGTTTTAAATACTTCAACACATGCCAGCATGATGAAACTTAGTGTTTTTATTAGTTACCATATCAACATGTGTCAAAAATGTGTCAAAATTAAGAAATCTTTGAAGGATATCAACAAACATGCATTTAACCATTGCAAAAGTAAATTTCTTACCATGTTCATTTTTCATCTCTGTTTTTGTGTTTATTTAAAATGAGACAAATCTGATATTATTTTACTCTTATATCTGTTATTTAACTCAGATAGTTACTAGTGCCCCTATTAGAACTATGCTATTCTGGGGTGCGTTTCCCAGAAGCATCGTTAGCCAACTATGGTCGCAATTTGGTCGCAATTTCCATTTAACTCTATTGGAAAACGACGGAACTTGCGACCATAGTTGGCTAACGATGCTTTCGGGAAACGCACCCCTGTTCGATACTTTTTTTATGAATTCTATTTAGAAACCGTTCGAAAAAGGTGAATGTTGAGTCAAGGTGAATTGAATGAGTCAATGTTCAGAAATTATAAGTTATTATTTTGTTTTGAACTATGCTGTGTTTTGCAGTGTGTTTGTCAAACAATTTTGTTTTTAATTATTTAAAAAAAATACATTATTTTATACGAAAAAGTTATTAAATGTAATTTATTGACAAAATATTTGAGTTTGTCTATAGGATCATTTTTTTTTATTAAATCAGATAACATTTTAAGCTGTCATATTGCCGTTACAATATGCCCCACCTATGGGGCATGTTGTCACATTTCACTTCCATTCTTTCGGGCTATATCAAGAAAAAAGTATACACTGTATTAAAGGGATACTTCAGGATTTAGCATTAAGCTTTGTATTAGTAGAAAACATGTAGTATTTTTGAGTTACCATGCTTTCCACCCTCATATCCCCTTGAGACAAGAGATTTATCCATTTTTTTTGTCTGGAAAAAATCTTTTTCCAGAGGATTTTTTTTTGGCCAGAGGCTAAAGACTAGTCAGTAGCAGGCTGTCAGCCTGTCCCGCATGTTCTCAACCCACCCATAGAGGGTGTGATCTCACTCACAGAAGGTACACATAGTGTCACATAGTGTTTTTTTGGAAGCTAAGCTAGCAGGCTCTTGTTCTGTGGAGAAAGCTGAGTAGTAGGGGTTACCGTCCTCTTTTTTTCCGGACATGTCCGGCCTTCAGCTTTTGCTTCTGCAGTCGCCATTCGTTGTTTACATGCACACGTTTTGTTTCAATCTAACTGAATTCATTCCGATTGGTGAATCTGAATGTAGTGTTTACATGAACGCTAAACAAGTGATCGGTTGATGTGCGTTTCAACATTGCTAACAAAATTTGCGGTCCTCCGTGAGAGATACGAGACCGGTGCGTCTCACAGGTGTCGCTCATCGGTAATCACGCCACCGGCCTCGCGCCGTTCTCCCGTGGCCCTCACTCGTCCCGCTCGCCACAGTAAACATAATGAATGGCGACTTTAGAACGCAAAAGCCGAATCCCGGACATTTTGGCCAATCTCGAAACACATTTTCGGCCAGACTCATGAAGACTCACTAGTAGCCTAGACTTGTTGTTTAATGCTGCGTTCACGTGCTATGGAAAATAGGATATTTTCCACTTGTGAACTGGTATTTACCAGTGTGTTGCGTTCATGTGCTTTTTTTGTCGTAATGTGGTTAAAAAAATGGAGATCCAGACCTGTCATTTAGCTAAAATTATTTTAGATTGCTTAAGTCATCTGCAACAGCAAGAAAATGATTTATCAAAACTCAAAAGGTAAATAATATGCTGTATATTTTCTAGATCATATATATTTTTACCATTCACGACTCTCGCGTTGCTCGCCGCCGTTTTGAAAAGGTCAAAGTGTATTTCATCTGGGCAACTCGTCCATCAAAATATTCTACGAGTTGCTCAGTGGAAAATACCACATGAGGGGGAGTTCATGTGCATTTTCCACGTTGGCTTTTGGTATTTACCATAAATACCATAGCACATGAACGCACCATAACTACTGCAATATGTTACCGGTAAGCGTGGCCTCCTAAGGGCAGCGAAGCAAGTGCATTCTGGGAGTTGTTGTCTTTCATCCACATAAGCCATTTTCTGGCTTTTCTCAGTCTAGAAAGCTCCAAATTCAAAAATAATTTCACATTTTTTCCACATAAATGACCCATTTTAAATACACATTCATCTAGACATGTGTGAAATGAATGCAGGAAGAAAAAAATACTCTAAACCCTAAGCAGGTTTACCCAAACTGAGAAAGTCAAAAAGCGTTAGGTTGTGCCACGCTTTCCCCTATTTGATTAAGGTTGAATCAAAACTCTTCAGGGCTGTGGCCCTCCAGGAACTGAATTTTGCACCCCTGTCATACAGTGTCGTGCTCTCTTTTTTGTCAGTGTTTGATTTTGCAAATTTGCAACATTTCTGTTTAGCCGAAGGGAGCAGAGATGCCTCGTACTTGTGTGAGCAGTGCAGATAACTTAAAATGGAGGCAATGCTTGCAGACTATTGCTGGACTATTGCAGTAATAAGACTATTACTGATGCACTATGAGCATATTAGTTTTTGTGCCTTTTGTTTAATAATAAATCTGATTTATGTATCCCTTTTGCAGATGTTTTTAAAGTGTTACACAAACAGGACATGTACTGTCTACACAATATATATAGACGCGACACGCGATGATTCTATTTTAGAAACGGTTTCTATTTCTGCGATGTTGCGGTTGGAAAAAACAACAGAAAATGATAATCTCAGGTACTGGTTATTTGCTTTATGAAATGCATTAAGCATCTGTGTGAGTTTGAATATCATTTTATGTGTGTGTGTGTGTGTTTTTTTTTTTTTTTTTTTTTTTTTGTAGTCGTACAGAAAGCATCTCACTTCAGATCTTCAAAATAGCTTTAAGGGAACAAGAACATTCAAACTCATTGTTAACAGACAAGTGTATTCTGTGACAACAATTGTTTCAGTAACTTGGAATGTATTTTTAATAATGTTAAAATTGTGTAATATTCATGAATTTGAT